GTTCATCTCGGTCGAAAGCTGTTCTAAATCCCTTGCATTTATAGTGGAAATTCACGAACAATTATTACTCACACAAAAAAAAGAAAAGAAAAAGAAAATGTGATTAATTATAACCATCCTCTTGTCTTCTTTGTGTGTGTGCGTGTGCGTGTGCGTGTGTGTGTGTGTGTGTGTAATCATTTATCTACTATCTGCCTGAAGAGGGGGAGGGAGGGGAGAGGAACGGGTTTTAGGTTTGTGGTGGGGAGGAGGAGGAGGAGGAGGAGGAGGAGGAGGAGGAGGAGGAGGAGGAGGAGGAGGAGGAGGAGGGAGGAGGGAGGGAGGAGGAGGAGGAGGAGGGAGGAGGGAGGAATGAAGAAGAGGAGAGGGTGTGGGGGGGGGGATTGGTTTGTCCACATGATTATGTAAACTGCTGCCGACTGATTGTGAGATAACTTTATGGTGGAGTTGGTCACGACTTCGGGAGCTTGAACTTGTATTTTGGTGGTGAACCGGATCCGCGTTCGGACGTGGGATTTGAATGATGGTCCGCCAGTGCATTATAAAAGAAAAGAAAAGAAAAAAAATGTTTTTTCTTTAAATGAGATACAATTGTGGGTTTTGAAACTTTTTTTTTTAGTGTGTTGGAAGACTTTTTGCATTCTGAGGATTTTCTATTTCATTAAGTATATCTTTAAAATTGATTAGAGGTATCAATTTGAGATAGCAAGGAGAGGGAGAGAGGAGAAGAGAGAGGGAGGAGAGGGGGAGAGATAAAGAGAGGAAGAGGGAGAGAGAGAGGAAGAGAGAGAGAGAGAAACAGACAGACAGATAGAAAGAAAGAGAGAGACGGACAGATAGATAGATAAACAGAGAGAAACAGACAGATAAATTTATAAATATATATATATATATATATATATATATATATATATATATATATATATATATATATATATATATATATATATATATTATATATATATATATATATGAGGGAGAGAGAGAGAGAGAGAGAGAGTGATAAAGGATGTGTGAGTGAGTAAAAGGAAGGAGGGGAGTAGGAGAGGGAGATAGAAAAGAGAAAGAAATAGATAACTAGATAGAGAAACAGCGAAAAAGAAGTTGAGACAGGAAACGTAGAGGGATGCAAAAAGATAAACGGAAGGAAAGAATAAAAGAAAGAAAAAAAAAGAAAACACACGCACACAACAAGAGACGAACCTCGTTACCACGCTCAAAATTCTCCTCAAAAGGTCAAGCCGACAGCCCCCCAATAATCGAAATTCCGTTAGTTAAACAGCATCATTTATTACGTCACTCAACTATGCAAAACGTGCTTAAGACTTTATCGAGTATTTCCTTATGAAGTCTGCTGTTAATTGATGAAGACGTCTAAGCGAAAATGGGATTCGGATATTTTTCTATTCTTGAAGGGGAAACTAATAAAGATCTTGGGAAAATTCAGAATTCGGTCATAAAATGAATTTGTATTACAAGGAAGAGAGTTGGGGTGGGGGTGGGGAAATGAGGAGGGGGTGAGCGGAGGGGAGGACAGGGGGAAATGTAAAGGGGAGAGGGAAAGGGAGAGGGAGGGGGAAATGAAAAGGGGGAGAGGGAGAGCGAAGGAAGGAGAGAGGGAAAATGAGAAGAAAGAAATAGAAATAAGGAAGGAAACGACAGGGAGAGATGAGATGAGGGGCGTTGGAAGAGGAAGAAGGATAAAAGGCTGGGAAAGGGAAAGGAGAGAAAAAGACAGAATCAAAGAGAAACCGAGATGGAAAAAGAGAAAGAGAGAAAAAGTGAAAGGGGGACAAGGAGAATGAGACAGACAAAAAGAGGTGTCAAAAATAAATGAGAAGAAAAGAGGCAGAAGAAGAGGCAGAAAAGGGAAATAAGACAACATAGGAAGAGGCTGCAGTTTGGAGATGACTTCACCATCTTCGACGATCGGTTCCAAATAAATGTTCCAGAAATTTTAGTTTTGAAGATCCCACAGTAGAAATAAACAAGGCTTCTGTAAGCGTATAGTGTAGTCTAATGTGGTTTGCTGAGTTACTGTATGAAGAAGGCTGTTGTCTCCCGATGTATCTTCGAATTATGAAAAAGGATTTTAGATTTCTGAGAAGCAGTAATTTCAATAATTTCAAGAAAAATGAAGGGGGCGAGAACAGCAAGGAAAGAAATAATTAGTAGAAAAGAGGAAAAATATAAAATAAATCTTTCCTACTGCTATTTATGAAAGAACATACTCCAAACAAAAGAAAGAAAGAAAAAAAATGGTTTCATTCATCATTTACCATGACATACTGCTCTCAATGTACCATATAAGCGGTAGTATATTCATACATTATTATTTGATTAATGGAGCTAATAAAAAAGACAATACATATATTTTAATTTATTACAACATTTGGGTTAGTATATATAAATGGGGGGTTAGTAAATATAGATATATAAACTCTACAAAAATAAGTTAACCGTAAATAAATAAATATATGCAACACAACAAATGTCAAAAAAAGACTTAGGAACAAGGAAAATAGATACCATTTATGAGGCTGACCCATTCCCTGGCCACACGCCCTCAAATCTAATCTGTATCACATACAGTAAAAAAATATTTATATAACCGATTTACCAATCTTATCCACTAAGATTTCTTCATACCGACTGCTAAAAGGGAAATTAAGTAAACAAACCTATGTACAAAGGCACACCCAGAATGACCTGAGATCCAAGACAACCGACAGATGACACGAACTTAACTACAAGTTCAAGCGCTAAATATATTATTATTATTTTTTTTTAATGTGTTTTGGAACTCTCAAATAGTTACCGACTTTGGTGCAATTTTCTTTAATTCATTTGATTTGTAATAATTTCTTAGATTAAAATAAAGAGGACAACTGTTCAGGGTGATTTTCACGCTGAAAAGAAAGTCAATGGTAATTCCTTATTCGTATCAGTGTTTCAACAATGGATAAAAAAGTGAGAGGAGAGAAAATGGAAACAAGGGAATAAACTCTAAACGAATGAAAGAGATGAAATAGCCAAGAAATGCCAGAAATTTACGAGAAGAAGAAGGAACTGATAATGGAGTAGATGAAGAAATAATTAATGTAAATTTTACGAAGAAAGAAAAAAAAAAAATAAAAAAAAATAAAACGACAGGGAGTGCAATAAGGAAAAGGATAATTAAGAGGAAATGCAAGAAAAGAAGAAAGAATGTAAATATAACTGCGAGCAAAGAAAGAAGAAAAAAAAGGAGACATACAACAGAGAAGAGAATAATTAAAGGAAAATAAATTAAAAGCAGAAAGAACGAATGCAAATAAAAGTAAAGGAAGTACAAGGAAAAGAATAACAAAGAGAAAATGAAAGAAAATAAACAACAAAGCTCCAAGAAAAACACGGAAATACTAACTAGCCACTTTATCCGGATTTCAATTATTTTTTTCATCTCGTTCAGTTAAAACGTAAATAAAATCACGAAGCCAAACATCGCCATTAACAAATTAATAATAATTAATAAAATGATCATTATCTTACCCTCACCTGAATTACACTTAAAGCTTTATATACCGACGACTGAACACTGATACACAAGGACGTAAGGAAATGGGAAATGGGAAGAAAAAAAGGTTTTAAACAAAGCAAAACCGAAAATAAATCATTCACGAATGATTGGTAGGAATATATTCATATAAATATTATATAATATAAACCTTTTTTTTTACCACAATAGTACTAGACCGACTTTCGTTAAGTCTCGTGTCAAAGGTCAGATTCTCGAGGACGGAAGAAAGAACAGAATAAAGTAAGGGATGTATGGAATGGGAGGAGAAAGCGGGGAGAGAAAGTGAGAGTAGGAGAGGGAAGGGGCAAAGGGGGAGAGGGAAGGGGGCAAAGGGGGAGAGGGAAGGGGGCAAAGGGGGAGAGGGAAGGGGGCAAAGGGGGAGAGGGAAGGGGGCAAAGGGGGAGAGGGAAGGGGGCAAAGGGGAAGGGGGGAGGGGGAGGGGTAGGGGGGAGGGGAGATGGGAGAGGAGAGAGCAGAGAGGGGAGAGGGGGAGAGGTAGGAAGGGGGGGTGGAGGGGTGAGAGGGAGGAAGGTGGGAGGAGGGATAGTGGGAGAAATGAGGGAGGGGGAGGATGGAGGTAGAGGAAAGGAAAGAAAAGAAAACTATCCCGAAAACACACAGACACAGACACACACAAGAGAACCAAACGAGAAAAAGAGGGGGAGGGGGGGGGGTAAAGAAACGGAAAAGCCGAGGGATGAAAAAGAAAAGACGAAATAAAAGAGAGAGAAACCCTGAACGTGGAAAAAAATCTCTAGCTTCACGCATTCCTCAGCCGAGCAAACGCGGTAATATGTCCAAGGCAACAACATTGTCCAAAACGTTGAATCAACACTTTACACACCACTGTATGCTATCCAAAAAAAGAATCAGCTGCACCGGCGACACCAACACAACGAAGTCAACGCTCAAACTAACGACTTGAATTTATAAAAAGAATTTGCCATTGCATTGTTGGAAGCATCGTAGCCACGGGTTCAATGTTGCAAGCACGGAAAAGGGGGGTAAACACGCGTTTGCATCTTTGCAAGGATGTATTACAAGTTGTGTCAAAGAGTGTAAATAACATTTCAAGGCGTTGCGAGAAAACAAATTGTATATGCTTGGTAAAAATTCACGGAGATAGCGCGCATTTTTAAAACGTTTTTTACAAGTTTCTCCTGTGTAAAAGACGACGTTTTCTCTGAGCAACATACTACGAAAGAAAATGTATATCTCAAGGGACTAACTAATCCCTTTTCGAACAGAGCTGAATGGGAAACGAAATCGAAACAATAAAAAGGAAAACATCGCAAAACTCTTATCCAACAACCTATCCACACGCAAACACAAACAGACACACACGCAAACCAACCAACCAACCTATTTTTTCTTAATCATAATAATCAACAAAAAAAGCTTCAATTTCGCTTAGAAATTCGTGGCTCTCGTTGGCTGTTCCTTAGTCTTCATGGGCGTCTATCTGGTTGCGAGCGCCCATCCTGTCGTGGGTGTCCATTTCATCTCGCCCTTCCATTCTATCGTGGGCGTCCATTTTATCTCGGCCGTCCATCCTGTCGTCGGGAGGCGAAAAGGGGAGCGTCGAGGGCGGCGTCTCATGACCAGAGGCGAGGTCGGAGGTGATGGCCTCCAGGAACGGGGTCATGTACCGCGTCATGAGAGAGGAACAGATTCTCGCGTCGCCTTTCTCGGCTTCTGTATACAGCGTGTAGAGTCTGCGTGGCGAAGTTAAAAGGAATGAATGAATTAATATTATCCATCTATATACATACATGTATACACATGACGTGTGTGTGCATGAATGCACACACATCGCCTGTGTGCGGATTTGCATATATTGGGTAAGCCTAGATACGGTAGTTGGTTTCTATCTTAGATATGACGGTGGGTTGAGAACCATCAGCAATGATTACCTAAAGAACTACTCGCCTGGGGAAGGATCATTGGTCAGCCACCCCAGTATAAAGACCCAGTCAACCCAGTCAAAGCCTTGACAGAAAACATGCCCTGACAGAAAACATGCTTGTGCTCGAGGTTCTTCTTTAATCAAGGGCTAAAGAAACTCACCCCTACAGAAAAGGGCTCAGGGAGTGATGGCACCTGTTGCATTTTAATCAGAAGGTTCTTAAAGGAATGCTTCTAATCGCCAACAATAGAGAGTGTTCTGGAGATCTCCGGAGTTGCGGGTATATAGTATGTATGTATGTATGTATGTATGTATGTATGTATATGTATATGTGTATGTGTATATGTATATGTATATATATACATGTTATATATATCATATATATGCATGTGTGTATTAATGTATAGATAAAGGAAATTAGGAGAGAAAAGAGAAAACAAAGAAAAGGAGAGGAGAGAGAAAAGGAGGTAGAGAGGAGGTAGGGAGGAGGGAAAAAGAGACGAGACGAGAGAGGAGAACAGAGGAAGAGGAAGGAGAGTAGAGAGAAGAGGAGAGGAGAGCAGAGGAGAGAGAAGAGGAGGCGACAGCAGAGGAGGCATGAGCAAAGAGGAAACGACCCACAAGATAAGAGAAAATGAGGGCCAGAAAAGCAGCACCGAACGACAGACAAGGGAAAGCATCAAACCCACCCACACAACACTCACAGCGTCTGCCACGTGTTGGCCTGCAGGCTGGGCACGGGCACGAGGCTCAGCGCTACCTGGATAGCTGCCGACGCCTGCACGCTCGGGAGGAACTGACTGATCTCGTAGTTACTCAGGCAGGTCTCGGCGACGTGGCGGGCGACGGTCACCACGTTTCTGAAGGGGAGGGGAGGCCAATGGAAAGTGGTCTTAAATGATTTTGATTTGTCTTTTTCTGTTGTTATTTATCTATTATTACTATTTTTAGAATGATAGTTGTGACTGTTGATGGTGGTATTGGTCATAGTAATGACGTTGACGATAGCAATAAATGGTGCTAAACATACGAGTTACTGAAAAGCTATTACAATGCAGTATCTGATCCTAATGGTGACGGCAACATATACAAATGCTATTACATTAATAACAACAGCAATGACACCATCTATTATAATACAACGTAAGTATAAAATCACGTACAGTCGCGGACAAAAGTACTGCAGTGAACTAAACTTCAATATCTTGGTATTCTAAACAAGTGTCACATAATCTAGGTGTTAAAAAAGGACTTCTAAGCTGTAAATGTACTTAAGTAAGACACACAAATACACCTTTATTACTTACCTATCCAACCCGCACATTTGCGTCGCTTTGAATGTAAGATGATCAATAAAGTACCAGCAAGTAGGGCTGTGTAGGGCGTAGCTGGAAAAGGGGAGTTTTGTCATATGATTTTGTTAAAAAAAAAGGTTATTTTTTCATGTTATTTTTATTTTTTCATATTGTTAAGAATGTTAATATTATTGCTAAAAATGGACTTATTTTTTCATATTATTGTTAAAAAAGGTTAGTTTTTTTCATAAAAGTGGTAAAAATGGGGTTATTTTTTATATTGTTCACAAAAGGGTTAATTTTTCAAAGGTGTTTAAAAAAAGATTGACTGTTGTTACAATAATTGACAATGAGGATTATTCAGTGCGGATTATCTGTTTTACGTACGTACATCAAATTCAATGAGGTTTATTTCTGCATAATGTAAGTTCTGTGGCCATTTATTTATTCTTGTTTATTTATCTCTCTTATCACTCTGGATTCCTCTTATCGCTCACCTAGGCTTATCATACATCATATTGACTAAACTTTGAAATAGTCATCAGTTCATGATCATAAAAATTAACTCTTACCCAAGTTGCTTCTACGAGGTGTATTAATTTCTGAATAAAGTGCATACATGTTATAAAAGTATTTAGTGTGTACTGTTTGGTTAAGAAATAGTGAATAAAAACCTACAGTATATCAGAAAACAAAGAAATCTGTATTTAAAAAAGCTAAGTGTATAATTTATCATAAACAGAACACACATGGAAAATACTGAAACTGACAATACTCTATTTTTTCCCCAGTGACTACAAAAACGGCAACGAAAGAACTCCAGAGAGACAGACTTTCTTTCCAAACTTCTCACCCAAGTTTCGAGAGAATAAGGACCTCCATGCGCCTGAAGTGATGCGGCCGGTACGTCCCCGCGCACATGGACACGAGTTCGGTGATGCCTGGAACAACGCACTCTTCCTGTGCGCAGAATAAGGGAGGGGGAGAAATTCTTAAGTCTGGAGGTAATACTAACAGGACAATGAAAAAAATCTTTAGCATTATGTGAAAGTTTATATAATAAGGCTAATAATGATGATGGTAGTGATGATATCAATGGGAAG